GACAACAAAAACCATGTTAGTTTGAGTTTTATGGTGCTGGGATGTCAGATTAATAATGATGTCAGATTAGTAATGATGTCAGATTAGTAATGATGTCAGGTTAGTAATGATGTCAGTTGCTGAAAGACTAAAAGAGCACTAAAATAATATTGATGTCTTTTTGGTTCCTCTAATTAAGATATGTTCAGATTGTGCAGTTCTGAGAACGCACAAATTTTGTAATGTAAAAGGGGCTAATGTTACTTGTTACAGACATGACTGTTAAGCAATATCATACAAAGATCCTGTCTATAACCTCATTCTTGCCTTCATTAGCCCACATGGTGCAGAAAAGTAGGACGTAAAACTCCACTTATTTCATTTTTTATAATGTCATTCTGTGAAGTTTATTGATACTACCTGACACTGACATGACTGGTAAGCTATATGATACAGAATCCCTGAGTATAATGTCATTGTGGAAGAGCATATCAACGCTATCTGATATTTCCTCTGTTTATCTGGTAATATCAGGAATCTTGGCACTGACTGTGGAACCAGAGAAGAGTTTGACTGATAAGACCAGGGGGTAAACAGGACAACTTTCTTACAACTTTGGCTTTTTGTAGTTTTTGTTTTTATGGATAATAGTCTAATGATAATAATAATTATGTAGTTAAGTTATATCACAAGTGGTCAAAGCAATAAGAAAACACAATAATGCAATTGATGATAAAAAATACAGACACAAGAATTTGAGAAATTTAGGTCTTTTCTACATTGTTTGTTATTTTTGATTGCAGAATGATATTGATGTAATAAACTCTCAAATAGTGACACCTGATGCCACTCTGCAACTTGGCATTCTTTTTGTTCACATAGCTAATAATGTTAAAGGGATTGTAAAGAGGTTTTCTTAATTTTGTGTGTTTTTTAGTGGAATTGCTGGAACCACAGATGTCTGAGTGAAAATTGGAATGGTGCAAATTGATGCTATCAATGTCCCCGATAAACACAATGAACTATAAACGCTCTTTACAATCCCTTTAATGGTATTGAGGTGTTGAAACCAGACGTCCTTTCAGAGTGTCAACTCAGGAATTATTTTTCTTTTATCTAGAAGAGTTTTTATGCAAATGGATGGCACAAAAAAATACGGCTGAAAAATGACAGTCAACAGACAAACAAGAGTTATTAATAACTTGAATACATGTAAACAAGTAAATTTGTAATGGGATGATTTAGTAACTAATGTAACAGTATATCAGATATTTGAGAGAATATTACATGATAAACATCTCAGTAAATAAACAATAAGAGATAAACAAATAAACAAGGTCTCATTATCATCTTTACTTAATGAGGCTTGATATTAATTATATCTTTCTTACATTTATGATAGTGTAATATCTATTTTATACATCCATATCTTTATTTTTCTTCTCCATTGTAATCTAACAAGCTTTCTACCACGGTCCTGCTCACATTTATGACATTATGGTATGATTTTAAATGCCCACATCCCTTGACGTATTTTATTGATACATACTTTATCATACTTGTCTAATATCATGAAACCTGTTTTATTCGCAGCCCATATATTTCTATGTGGATGTATGTTGTCCAATTGTATGTCCGCTTGTTTGCTATATCATTAGTTGTGAAGAATGATAAGGATAGCTGAAATTGAGCTCTATCAGCTAAGTTGAATATTGAGTTGACTGAAGGGCCAGATGTAAAATATGGTTGAGCTTGAGATCTAGAATAATTACTTTCTTCACTATTGTCTCAAAAAAGAAATTGAGACTTTTGTTTTTTTTTAACCAGAAGTATTTTGTATGCTCGTATGACATTTTGAAAGAATTACATTTGATGTTTGACTTCAGATGGCTTTTACAGATGGAATGATTTCAGGACAGACAAGGGACGTTTACCTCAGATAGCGTGTGTCGAATTACAGGACAGGTGGTGACCCCTAGTGTTGAATTAAATGTCAAAGATGTGATAGGTTGATAAAGATTGTGACATTCCCCAACTTCCTCTCATCTTGCCAACTTCTCTCGGGATTCTAAGAACAAAGGAAGCTGGGATAGATTTATCAAATTATCTTCGAGACCTTGGATTAACCCAGCGTCATTTTATTGACATTTTCTACAATTTAAACAAACATTTTTATTGAAGAGGAGAGATTGTCATTTGGCTAGAAATAGGCCTATATTTTTGTCATTGATAGAAAATGTCTCGTACTTTGAAATTGAATGAATATTTTCTTTGAATTCTTCAAAGAGGTTTTTGTATAGAAAATAAAATGAGTTTTACAGCCTACTTTTCTGGAGAGTTTAGGCAATTAAGAGATTTGAATGTTGGGGTAGGGGTATGGGTAAAGCCAGGTCAACATATTTTCTGGGGGAGGGGTGTAGAAATACCATTGTGCACCGAGCAAAGTGCACTTCTTCTATCTGAGGACAATAAGTTTTAAGTTCAATCTTAAATGATCAATAGCTGTTAGGACTCTCTTCATGTCTACCTCTATGATTTTGCTGAATTGTGTACATTCTACGTATTACACTGATTGGATAGGTACATATCACTTTTATCCTTGTGATAGAAACATTCGTTTGATCAATTTTATCTTAGTCTCAGAAACGGGAATGGCAAACCTGTCCCTTTAACTTGTTTAAAAAGTGTAAAGACATTAGCTTGAAGGCATCCTGTCAGGATGAAACATTATATCATTCTTCTGAAACAATGCCAGAATGCCAGAGTTTTGCTCCTGGTGCCATTTGTCTTTGAAATATGAAAAGAAAGCAATTGCAGGATATAAAATTCTCTGAATTTATTGTTAAAAGGACATTAACCCATTCCTGTTCACACCTGGATTGCATTAACCCTATCTTGTCCATCTGGTGGAATCTGATTGGTTAATACCACACCAGATTACACCCCATACCTTGAAATTAATACCCTACCAAAATTAGATCATCTTTCTAGCCCCAGGATTAAATAAGCAATCTTTAATGGCTTCTGTCATTTCAATTAACAAAGACCACAACCCTTTCACTTTTCTTCTCAAATTTCATTGGTGAATTTAAAAGTATCACATTTCATTTGAAGTGTTGGAAGTCATTTGAAATTCTGAAAATGATATTTGATAATATAATTTGAAATTTTAGGATGAAATTTATGATATTTTCATGTATATGAAATGAAAGTATGCCTTAAGAATTGTTCACATTAAATAACAATAATGATGGATATATATACCGAATAAAAAGTATGAGCTATGTGGACTCTCTGAAAGGGATGCCAAGTTGACAAACAGATCTCTGGAAACGGTGACCATGCCCAACTTCGCTAACAACACCCATCGCAGCATTTATTTTGGTGTAGCTCAATGATACAAAGATTCAGAAAGGCACACCCCTTCCCCCTCACCCCTCAAACTCTACCCTAGTCTGTCATTCTCATACATCCACCCCCTAATTTCCGCCCTCTAATTTCCACCCCAATAAAACTGTCATTATAACAGTAAATTGATGATAAAGCTTGAAATAATGAGTGTTGGTCACCCTGACAACCAATTTAAGATAAATCTGTATTATCTATGTGATCAGCTGTCGTGTGCATGCCAGTAGGTGGGTGCCTGCCAAATCACTCCCAGTATATTTGATGTGAACACATGGACTGTCAAATCTATATATCTATTTACCCTCATCCTCCAGTAGTCAATGTTTCAACGCCACTGGTCAATTTTCAATCTTCAAAGGCCTTGAACTTCAAAGGGTTAACTGACTCTGGCTAAAATTTTGATATTCTGCACTTGGTATCATTGACAAAATCTATTTGATTCAATTAACTGAATTGAGTTCTGTGTTATGTAATATATTTGGAAGTTAAATATTCGTTTGTCATCTGTCCACAGTAAATGTTTCAAATCCATTGGTCTATTTTCAACTTCACCTGTCTTTAGATTCAAAGGGGTAATTAATTCAACTAATTCAAGGCAAACTAAAATTAGAATTTGGTTTATTTTACTCTGTGTTGTCTGCTTTTTTGATGGCAAAAAGTTTCTAGGTGCCATTGCAAAAAGAAAATTGCATCCCTCTTTGAATTCATTCTTCTGCATTGGATTTGAGAACATTAAATGGGGCATTCTTCTGTACAGTTAACTTCTGCAGACATCTTCAAAGGTAGATCCTTTCACCATGAAGGTCACAAGGTCAAAGGTATTAATGTCCGTCTGCTCAGTCAGACCTGAAATCTGTCATCTGGAAGTTGAACTTTTGAAGTGGAATCAAATGAATTCCAGACATCCATTTTGAATTGGGTGGCGCTGAGTGACAGATATGACATCTTGTCTGTGACATAATACCTTAAAAGGTTTGAGTAGTAGGTAAATATTTGTTATGTCATGGCAGCCATCTTTGATTCCAGACTCCTTTCCTTTTAATGTCTTGTGTTTGCCCTTATCCTGTCCAAATTGTTGTCACTTGTGTTGAGTTCCTTTCTTACATTCGTTTCTTCAGACGTGTTTTGGCTATATTTGTGACAGAGTTGCCAGAAGTCTTTGTTTTGAGGTTGTCTGAAATTTTGCATTTGTTACGTCTTGTTTTGTCTGCAGACGTGACAGGTGTTTTGTCTGCAGACGTGACAGATTCGCGAAGGCCTTTTACTTTCTTATCCTTGAGATGTCAGACTCTCATTTTGCATCCAGAATTCCAATTTTTTTGACAGACATCAGACAGTCCTGCGTGTTTCTGGTCTATTTTCTATTTTCCTAGTGGTTTCTCCTCTCTGTATCCATATTTACTAACCTGTTCGCAGGAATAATTATTCTTTTGCTGTGAGAATTTTTTCATTTCATTATATTTCAGACAGCAGAACGTGCCCATAATGGTCCTCAGTTCGTGTAGTGTAACCAGCACGTTGTCTGTGGAACTCGTCTTCAGTCACCACTATGCATGATCAAATAAAAAAAGCCTTTCTATCATGTAATAATTTTGTTTTTTTTCTATTTTCAGCTCTGGATAAACTAGGCTTCAACCACGTTTTTAACCTCGGAATGCAGGTCGAGATTGTCCAGCCCAATATCGTGTTTGATATCGCCAGTTTGATGTTATATGGTTCACACGCCACACCAGTACGCCTTAAAATCTTACTTGATCGCCTTTTCAGTGTCTTACAACATGACGAAGTTTTACAAGTCCTCCACGGGTTTGGGTGGACGTACGAAGATTACGCCAGGGGCTACATTTTACAGGTAAGGAGCTGTTTTTACCTCTGTCTAAAAATACTTCTTTGAATTAAAATGAATTAAGCTCCATTTAAGTTGCAATATTTATGAAAAAATATGTGATAATGAATAAATGAATGAAAAATATGAAAATTTTGATAGACAAAAGTGTATAGAGAGATCTTATAACATCTCAAAAACTTAACGACAAAAAATGAAATGCTTGACATTTAATAATTTCATAATATGTCTAAAAATACAGAATTTGATAAATTACTTGAAATTATTGAGAAAGATGAGAAAGGTAGCAGCAGGCAGATATATACAAGACATGTGTTTATATATATGACATTTGGAACTTGTCTGCATATCTCCAGGCAACACTTTACATTTGACACGGTTCCATCATAGACATCCTTTTAACATATTTCAGTTTCGGTTTTCATTCTTATATAATTTTCTCTGGTTCAAGGATTGAAGAATATTAGAATGTGATATTGTATTTTATGTGTTAGACCATTAAATTGCAAAACTTCTATACAGTTATAATTTAGGTCCAGAAAAGTAGATTATAAAACTCCATTCATTTCATTTCTGTTTCATTTTTTAAATTTCCTTTAAAATAGGTCTATGATATCTTAGGATCTTTCTACAATCACTGTGCATAAGAAAGTCGATAGTAATCTGTTGAATTCTTGATGATGAATGAACCCTGGTCATGTAGGTGCTGGTATAACTGTTTGACGTAAAACTTTTGGACAAAAACAAGAAGTTGAAAAATTAACACCTAGTAAACATCTATAGTTGATGAAAAGTTGGCAAAGAAAATGTTTAGAAAGTGAAATTTGATCGTAATATTTGACGTACAACCAGGAGAATGATCTTTGACAGTTTCAAGTTCACTTCTCTTCACTGTTTTCTTTCTATCTGGTAAACAAAACACAAACTTCACCATTGAATATCTCAACCTTTACAATATTATAATGTAGCAAGGGGCTAATAGAAGTGGGGCAGTTATCGGTCAAAATTTTCCAGGTGTTGAGAGGGTGGGGGGGAGGAGGGGGGACAATAACTGTGTTTCCATTGAGGGAAAAATACAGCTTTAACTAGCTTTGTGTGTTTCCACTGGGCAAATTGTCGAACCGAAAACATCTTTTTGCGTTCTGCAATTTATTGGGAGCCAACTGAAAGCTAGCTTAAAGCCGGCTTTCACTTAATGCAGTGGAAACGCAAAAATTCAGCTTTATCTCTTTCGGCGATAGGGGGCGTACTGGTGTTAACGGTAGTCTGGTACATCACATGCTGTAAATAATGTGCGACTTTGTGATTAAACTCATTGTAAACGCAATGCATTCAACTGGCTCAGTGGAAACGTGGTTATAAACATCCCAATTTGTTCTTTAGATGGGTATATATTTGTACTACTCCTTGTGAAATATGCAGGTATATTTCTATATTTCAACTAGTTTGGTTAGATTATGTTTTTTTTACCATTTGTGCCTATGTAGTATCTCTTGTCAAAGACTATCTCATGAAATGTTGTAATATATTTTAATGAGTTATTTTTGTCAACAATCTTGCTGCTATCGGTTCTGTGATTTTCATGTATAATCTGAGAATGATGTCGGTGCCAGCTTCCAAAATATTGACTGACATAGTTCTGAACATCATTTCTAGTTCATAGTGAGATGTCATGGTAACAGTTAGGTTTGGGTACAGTATGGTTATTTAAAATAAAAATCCGTACAAGCATGAAGATACCGTCAATCAAAATCAAAATGCAAAGAATGGCTGAATCAGAAGTAAAAGTAGTAGCTTTTTGAGGTACAGTGGGGATATTTGTGACTTCCATCTGCTTCATTCTATTTTACCATCAGATTTTTGTGGTTCCTGTAATTATAGAAGTGGTTAAGTGTATATGACTCATGACATTGCAATTGTAAAATCTGCCAATTATATCTAATGGGTATTGTGATAACCATGTCATAAAATACTCAGTTTGGAATTGCAATAACCAAAGATGTCTGACCGAAAATTGGAAAAAAAATTTTGCATAAGATATAAGGCTTTTTTGGGATCTATTCAGAATGGAAAGAGTAATATGAAGACTTCTGATTTTGTTAAAATTGGTCTCTGTTTATAAAAGGTTAAATTATGATCCATTTGTATAACATAATAACACAATATGAAAAAAACATAGTATTTTATTGGTTGTTTTAACTGGTAGTTCAGACATATCATATAACTAGAGTAGAATGAAAATACTTTCATTGAAAACTCAGAAAAAAAGATTTTCACAGCTGCTATGGTATTCCATTGAAGAATTAAACAATGTGCCAGTCATGTTTGATTGGAGCTTTCAAATGTCCCGTTGTTATTTTGGTGATATGGACAATTTTTTTTAACTGTGTAACTGGTGCCATTTTCTGTAAATAATTTAATCATTCTAATCAGGGTTATTCAGTTAGTTGTATTTGCCAGTTATACAAGCTTAGAACAGCATAATGGAAGGTCATTTTGTTGATCTGTGGGGATAAATATAAGCTTCAAAACAGTAAATAACTTCTAAGAGGCACATAGTTTTCTCTGAAATTGATGATAATCACTAAAGAACATTAATAGCTATGTGGACTCTCTGAAATGGATGACAATTATTAAAGAAACATTAATAGCTATGTGGACTCTCTGAAATAGATTGTGATTGATAAATCTGATTGCATTGTAAAAGCATACCATCTGGAAATTCAGAAAATACGTTCCGTTTCATTCCTATCTTACAGCACTAATTTGAAAGTACTATATGATTATTTGTAAAGCTGTATTTAAGGTATAATAACCTGTATTTTTAACCATGATTTTGTATATGACGATGCCAGCTGGTTCACTGTAACAGTTTAAACAGTCAAGTTGTAATGTTATTATAAAGATTACTTGATACTGTATACAAACTTATCATTCACACGCTTTAACATGGCACACGTTCCTCTCTTGTACATGACACACACGCTCCTCTCTTGTACATGACACACACGCTCCTCTCTTGTACATGACACACACGCTCCTCTCTTGTACATGACACACGCTCTTTCCTAGTACATGACACACACGCTCCTCTCTTGTACATGACACACACGCTCCTCTCTTGTACATGACACACGCTCTTTCCTAGTACATGACACACACGCTCCTCTCTTGTACATGACACACGCTCTTTCCTAGTACATGACACACACTTACATTTCCTCACACCCTCGCATTTTTTACATAACACACACACTTTACATGGAAAACACACTTTACATGAAGTTCATATCTAACCCTGACACACACACACAATATTTCCTAACACACACACAGGTTTTATGACGCACACACTTTACATGGAACACAGACATTACATGAGGTTCATATCTAACCCTGACACACACACATAATATTTCCTGACACACACAGGTTTTACATGATGCACGCACTTTACATGGCACCCTAACTGTACATGATGCACATACATCACCAACCAAACACAGAGGCTTTACATGACACATGCTTCACGACTCATTCATTATATGGCATAGGCTCCTTCCTAGTACATGACAAATACACTTTAGATGGCACACACAGACTTTAGGGCAGAGACTTATCTTTTTTGGAAACAGCAAGGTACTTAGTTACCAGTTTATTCACATTTTCATTAAAACTTTATTATCACCTGACAAAGAAAATATATAGACAATTGTATATCTTTATAATGTACTGTGGATCAGAAAAAAAAGAAAAAAAAGAAAAATTGAAAAGGAAAAATTGAAGAAGAAAGGACAATAACCAAGGCCTTCAAAGTTTGAAAACCACCGCACTTAACACCGAACGAAGATGTGCTGAATATTACTGAAAATGTTGGAATACTTAATAATTATCAGAAGTACCAGGATGAAAATATACAAGTTGTATATCAACTTGACAAGATAGCAGACGTGTGTTCGTCTCAAATTTCATGAAAGAAACTGGTCTAAAAATAACCTGTACCTTTGGTCTCGGTAAATTGAAATATTTAAAGACAGATAACGAGAGTTGACTCAGAGTAGATTCAGTGACTGGTGAAAATATTGTCCAGCAAAGATATTTATACACCAGTGGCATTTCTAGGAAACATAAGTTGGGGGGAAAAGCAGGGGCCACAAAATTTTCCAGGGGAGCCACCGGCTATACTTTTACTATGTAAATTGATACAAATTTCGAAACGTCACTGTGATACTCATCTGCAATATACGATATACAATAAACTATGCCTGTAGCCTTTACTGATTTATCAATATGTTGTTGGCACCTCAAAATTGTCAAAAATAAGTTATCTGGGCCTTCAATTCTTCAAATGTTCTGAGTACAAAATCTGAGCAACGGCACGTTTCCTGGCTGCTATGCTGAAGTAGCCTTTACTAATTTATTGAAAAAATGAATACCTATCACCAAACATAGGGCATGGATAAAGACTTTGGAACCATGTCTCTTCCTTATTATCTTCTGAAGAGAGTATTTGAGGGGTAATATAGGGGTATATATAATGTATATCACTAGTATATACCTACCATCAAGACAAAGGATAATACAAATAGAACTATGCCTTTAATTCAAAAGAATATCTACCTATCACAAAGACAAATGACTGTTTAGCTAGTAACAGATGTTAGGACTGTATTTTATAGTCGATGGAGAAAACAGACAAGATGAAATGAGATTTTCAGACAAGAGAGGTACCAAGTTTGATCTATCTTTAATCTCACCTTTCAACTTAGTATTTGTACCTTGTATTTATTATGGTACCTAGATCTTATTTATGGTACCAATTCCTGTTGCCATAAATTATATTCAAGTAGGGCTGATATTTGTCATATATTAACTTTTGTGATAAAGTTTTCCAAAGAGTATTAAAAAAAAAATAATTGATAAAACCTAAAACAATGCCAACAACTTTTTGTGGTCCCCTGGGGTATGATTGATACCCCCAAACTCTACTAATGCTCTCCTTGAGGGTGTGGGAGTCAGTAACATTGACTTAAAATTGAAAACAGCCT